TTTTTTTTTAATAACAAAATTAAAAAATATTTATGAATCATAAAATCCGAAAATAATCTGCTGGAAATAACGATTGGAAAATTTTTTTGCGCACATTGTTTAGTTTTCTAAAAATATGCAAATCTGGTTAATAAATACTTAAAATGAAAAAAAAAATTAAAAAAACACTACTAAGACTTGAACATTTTTTATGAACGTTCATCGAGCAAAACCAATGCTTGAAAAAAATCTTTTACCCACTGATTTTTCTTAATATACAAGTTTGATGTTATAAAGAATTTAGTTTTCGTAAAATAAAGAAAGTATTTCATCTATTAACACATTTTTTGCTTAAAATTTATAAATAATCTTGACGTTATCAAGCTTATCCTAGGAAGTATAATTAAGCATTTGTTGATAAAATTGAAACGAACAGCGAAAGCATTAACAAATTTTAAATGCATTTATATAGGCTTAACCAAATATAAAAACAAGATTTTCCTAGCACTAGAAAAAAGTTTTTCCAAATGTGGTGCAGATTGGCAGTATAGTATATAGTGTAGTATAGTATAGTATAGTATAATATAGTATAGTATAGTATATAGTATAGATTGGCAGTATAGATAGTGAGTATCTTAAAAATAACTGTTAAAGTATAAATATAATTCAAACAACTGTTATTAGTTAAAAATGAAGAATTAATTAATACATTAAGTTGCAAAAATAAGACTAAATAATAGACCAGGGCTCGAAAAATAGCCCGTCCTCGACGGTCAAAAATTCCCCGCGGACAACGAACTTCTCGAATCCTACGTCCGCGCGGGCGGCCATTTTGCCGTTAATGTTCGAGATATATTTTCAATTTTTGTTATTAGAATTGATGTTTTCTCTGTCTGCAGCAGTTGAAAGGGGCTTTTCAGCAATGAACTTACAGAAAAACACATTAGGTACTGGTCTTGAACAAGAAGCATTAAACGCAATTATGAACATCTACCTAAATGAAAAACCCCTTTTAGATTTCTGTGCGGAAATCTCTGTAAATCATAGGCTTAATTGTGGAACTGGCAAACGTCATATTTGATTCATTTAAAAAACGTAGTACCCTCGGATAAATTGACATTCCAGATAACTTGACCTTTATCATTTAAATTATTTCATAAAAGAAATACTAGGTAATTATTAGTAACCTAGTATTTCCTTTACTACTGTACAATGTAATCCTAGTATTTGTAATCCTAGTAACTACTAATTCGTTGTGCGATTTATATAAATGTTTGTAATAAATAAGAGAAATTATATTTTATTTATTTAGAAGCTACGGGTTAGTTTCAAAGGAGGACGGGTACATTGCTGCACAAGCCGTCCTCAGGGACGGATAAAATTTCTGAATTTTTTCGAGCCCTGTAATAGACGTTCCGCAAGCTCTAGCTTCATTTTTATTGTGAGAATTTAATAGTTCAGAAAATTACTCTTTCTTCAAGACGAGGAATAATGTGAAAATTATATTTTTTTACATTAATCTCATTTTTTTAATTGTTGATAGGTGTATAGATATAAAATTAAATGCAAAACTAACAGTTATATTTTGAAAAGTTGAATACCCAGAAAGTAAAAAAGCAACAATTTCCACAATAAAATTTATTACATTAACAACGAATCCACTTCAGAATATACAATAATAATGTAAAAACAAGAATTTTTCAACAATAGTCTTAAAATTATATCCTAGATTTAAACATCATTTCTCAACTGTGAAAAGAACAAACAAACGCTAACGTCAAATTTACATTAAAATTTTTACAGCTTCAACAATATATTCATTCACGTCAAAATGTAATGACCATATTTACATACAATGACTAAAAATGGAATTCGTACGTTTTGATGAAAATCTTAATTAAAAAAACAAATTGATTTAATATCTCACAAATAAATTATTAATCAAGAAGTTTTAACTTAGTAATGAATTGTAATTTTGTTAACTATTCCATATACTTATACTCAGTGGCGTACGCAGAATTTTTTCAAGGGTGGTGTTCATAATTTTCTGAAGCTACTAAAAGAAATTCGAGTATGTAATAAAGCACTATTATTTCCCTAATTTAGACATCTAGATCTAAATTAGACATTGGATCTTGTCTTTTTATTTAGACAACATTGTTTAGTTAAATTTTGATTTGATTTTTTAAGTTTAAGAACATAATGTAATATCTTCTCGCATGTAATATCTTCTGAAAAAAGTCCAATGTCATATGGGTGGGAAGTAACACTTTGAGGGCCACTTTCACATTCATCAGATTTTGTTATGCTAGAAACGTTTTCTTCAACGGAAGTATCACATTTCTGTACAACAGAAAAACTTACATTGTACTCCGTTCCCCCTTTTATATAATTTTTCACCGCATCTCCAAAATTCTCGAATTGTCTCAAAGACGACAGAACGTCTAGGATTCCAGAATCATCGCGTAAAGACCTCGCGAATGACAGCCAGTCTCGAAAACTATCGCGACTGGCAGAACAGAAAGGAACCAGTCCATAACAGTGGTTTCAAAAGTACAACCCTATTATAGTGATTGTTTTTTTTTTTCTTCAGTATTCTGAGAAATACCGTGAGATAAAAAGGTAGGCATAAGGCAAATAAAAATATATAGTCCTAAAAAATAATACCCGCATAATTTCTACTAAAATGTTTATTTTTGCCATTTTGTCTGAGCTCAAGGGGGGTGTTCAAACCCCTTAACCCCTCCCTTGCGTACGCCACTGCTTATACTTTATGTACACTTATGTATCCCATTTTTAAGAATCTGCAAATTCGATTGTAAGCTGTGGGACTATGGATGACTCGACGTAACATTAAAATTGAAAATCTTCAGTACGAAAGGGTTTATTTATGCAGGGTGTTTCAATATGACTGCCCTTTATATATATTTTTAAAATCCTTGTCAAATTTAAATAAAATGAAGAAAGATATACACATTGGTAGTGGAACGAAATGAACATGCGCAAAAATGAATTACTACTAAAAATGCTGTACTCAAAACATCAATAACTGTTCAATTGCAAGAAGAAGCGGATTAAAATTAAAAGACTATTATTAGAAACAAACACTTCAAGCTTTCATCAATATTCAAATAAATTGGTTTTAATTTTTTTTATGTTCCGTCTTCCTTGTTAGTCATAGGGAAGATTCTCCCTCGCATAAATATTAATTAGAAATCTTAATTTGAGAACTTTCCTTACTTCATTTATAATAAGAAATCTGAAAGCTTACGTTAATGCAACAATTATAGTATATCTGTCACGGGCAATGTAAATGATTGGGCATTGTTTATAATGCCCGGGCAAAAGTTTTAAAGTGCCCAAAAGTTAAAAAGTGCCCAAAAGGATATGACAAAATGATAAATTATGTTGCAATTATTACATTGCCCGGTCATTATGTATAATGCTAAAAGTCAAGTGGGCAATTTGTGTCACACACAGCCACAGGGTGTCTTGGGATATTCATCCACTTTTAGATGCACCTCGATAATTTTTTTTTTAATTTTTTCCGCACATGTGCTGTATAAAGCAACTACTTCAATAACTCTTATCTGGCGCAGTTATTATTATTTTTTTTTTTAATTTCGGGCACTTGGGGGTTGTCCCATTGGCCACAGNTGTAATAAATATTTCGGACATTCACCAAAGCGACTAATTTGATTGTCAACATTCACCGGGGAACATTGGCCAGCCAGAATCACACCACACGCACGTGGTTGTCCCATTGCTGTCAATTAATCAAAGTGCCCAAAGAAATAATAGCGGTATTTATAATGACCGGGCAATGTGAGAAATTGTCGTAAAGTAATTCAAATTTATCAAATTGCCCTATTTTAATGGTCATTATTCATAATAACTAAGCATTATGAATACTGACCTAAATAATTACATTTCCCGTAACATATCCAACAAATAAAAAAAACATCTATTCTAGTTTTAAAGTACAATTCACTTACTGCTGTTATTTTGTGTGACTTGGTCAACTTTTTTAAGATGAATTTTTTCAAAGAATGTGCTAAAAATAATGTGCCAGATCAATAAATTATTCAATAAATTTGAAAATGTACAATATCCAAAATTTTAATATCTGCTTAGAATTATAAGAGTTGGATGCTTATTTTTTTATATTTATTAAAAGAAAAAAGACTTTAATGTGTGATATGCGTCAGACAAATGTCACCAACTCATGTATTCACGACAAACAAAAATAGATTTTTCCTTCTGAAGTTAAATAACATAAATTTAAATGAAAATTTCAAATTACAATAATTTAAATCACGTTAATTGTCAAAAGAAACAAAACTTTGATAGTTTTCAGTAATATTATTTTGTCTTATGGATCTCATTAATTTAAGGCTTTATTTAACTTAATGACGAGAATGACTTAAATAAAAGTTTGAAACCAAAACTTGCGTACTCATTTTTGAAGATATTGTGTTTCCTAGGTTACTCTTAAGAAATCAAAAATAAATTATTCCACATGCATTATTTGTTTTATTTTAACAGTACACAAAACTTAAGACATTAAAAAAATGATACTATTTTTTTTTACTTTCTTAATAATGGTTAATAGTGGCCACCTTAATCACCAGACTTTAATGCATCGCACATTTTCATATGATCCATCTTGAAAGCAAGTTTTAGGGGTAAATCTCATAAGATTTATCATACGAGAAATTAAACAATCCACCAATAAGTCAATTACGGTTCATAAAAAACTCTTGGTCCACATTAACCCAAAGGTTGTCATTTTAAAAATTTACTAATATGCCGTTGGGAGTAACTTTTACATATTTTTTTGGAATATATTATTCTGATTTGAACTAAATTATATAATTATCGAATTACATCTGTCAAAGTTGTTACTTTCAAACTTTAGACTATTCTACTATTGCGCCATGAAAACAAGCATACTGAAAATATTGTAGCAAAATATCTGACAAAATACAATTTAAATAATAAGAAAAACTGAAAAAACTTAATTAACAATGACTTGTTGTTTTATTTTACTAAAAACAATATATCTACTTAAAAAACTGCATACTGTTTGAAATATCTGTCTTGATTTTCAACAAATTATACAGAACTCCACTGGCTATGCATGCACACACTAAAAAAATGAAATAGTTTGAGTTCAAATATATATATGTATCACATGAGAAATAGACAAAACAGAAACATTCACAAAATAATATAGAATTTAAAAAAAATTAAACAACTTTTGTGTTTATGATGATCTTTTGAATAATGAACTTATATCACAGAGGAATTTTTGAAAATTGAAACTATTTTTTTATGTGTAAATAAATTACTACTATACAATAAAATTTACACAACAAAATTAAAAAATAATTATATCCCGAAATAAATATTAATTTCATATTTTTAAGAATAGACAATAATCTAAAGTAAAGCTACGAATATTAACCTTTTACGGTGAGTAAATATTTTTTATGTGTCAGAGGTGCAATATATTTTTCAAACGAAAAAAAATGCTTCTTTACAAATGAAAAAAAAATTTACTTTTATAGCAAATATGCAGAAAATAAAAATATTTATATTTCAAAGAAAATGCATTAATATACTTCATTAATTATTTTTTTTAATAATTTATATTAAAATAATAATAATTATGCTAATTAATAATTAATTAAAAATTATAATTATATTAATAAGGATTAATTATAACTATATGAACTGTAATTATGACAACAGTAAAGTTGATTAGCATAATAAAGTACTTTTGCCGTATACGTAACGTTAATCCAGTTAGAAAAAGTGCGTAATGCTACTAATATAGCGGTAGTTGATCCGTTATTGGATAATAAATAATTTTATAAATCTAAATTTTCGTTCAACAATTTTCAAATGAAAAAGAATTGAAATATTTTCGAATTATTTTAAAATTGATTCATTTGTTTCAAGATTTTGAACTTGTATTCTTTATAGAAGAAGAAAAAATGGAACTAGTTTTTTTAATACAAAAAAACAAAAAAAAAACGAATTGAGGAGCGCATTCTGAAACGATCGCAAACCTGAAATGTTTCTACATACACAAAAAAGATTTTATAGCATTTTTCTTTTATTTTTGTCGTAAAATAATACAATCACACCTTTTTAAGAAACATCAAAAAAATATTTTTTTCATATATTACATGAATATACTGCCAAAAGCATCGGTAAAAATTTCAAAGTATAATGAAGAGAAGCGCAGGCTGCACTGGGAAGTTGTTCCCAGGACGAGTCTAGGACATGACTAACATGGCGGAAATCTAATTACGATTGTGAAATTTTTTAAAACATTTCTCCTGGGCTAGCAAAACTTGTTAACATTTTTCTCCGAGCAGCGGATTCTCTGAAAAAAATGAAATTAACCCTGCATATCAGATTAATTTCGGATTCTTAGATAGAAGAAAAAAAAATCCATCAGCAGTCGAATGCTTTTCTTCTGACTACCATATTTTATAGACTTATTTCTTACTCTTTCGAATACGATTTACTGAATTTAAGTATTAGCTTGACATTGCATCACAATAGATTCTTCAATTCGTTTATTTCAGTTTAATTACTGACCATCGCTGTATTACAACCACATCTCTTAAAAAAACAAACATAAATGATTATAATAAAATGAGTGAAACGTGCATGCATAGCTTGATTCACCGGGAAACGAAAATGGCACAACACACGACAGTAAATAACAATGTCCATGACTTGACAACGCTGTTTAAACTACGTTTGTGACGGAGGTGCGACGCTTACTGGAATGCCGCCTGCAGCTGGCGTCTGTAGTGCTCTTCTGTCTGTGAATATTCGGATGACGGCACTGGAAACAATTTCTGCTCATCACCAGTGCAATATTGTTCTGATCAGCCTAGATGGAAAAAAATATTTAGTAAAAGAATAATTTCAAAAATTCTTTATTATCAATATGTATAGTTTGTGGATCGAAAGAACTCCCCTCGCCACTAAGTAGAGGCGCTTCTCTCTTTCCTGATTTTCATTCATTTTATATTTTATAACCGTCGTTGAACAGCGGACCCCATTTTATGGGATTACGACTACTTATGTAGCTACTCCGTAGCTTTGTAATTTTGAACCCAATCCAGAAGACAAGGGAACTTCTGGATCGAGTATTGAGAGAAATTTGCCATCGTGGAGGACTTTTTGATGGAGCTAACCCGCATTTGCGTTACATGGAGAGGAAAATCACGAGAACCTCCCACGGTTAGCCTGACGGCAAGGGGACTCTAACCCATGATCCATCTACTACTGAGTATAGTTTACTTCAGCACTGTGGTCGGTGTAAGCCGGATGCGGAATTCGTATCGACTGGGATTCGAACCCGGTTCGCCTCATTGGAAGGCGAACGCTCTATCCCCTGAGCGATCAAGCTCTGATTTTCAATCATTCGTCGAACTTTGTCTTAAATATTGACTTAAGACCCCTACAGGAAATAATTAAACCCCTCGTAACCATAGCCACCGCCACTGTTCTAGACGAATAGCGAGAGGAGTTCTTTCTTTAGACAGACTATAAATGCGTTTTATATGTAGTAAAGAAAGATATGGGTGATTCTCACCAAATACGACAATTTGGTGTAACTGCCACATAAATCTAATATCATATAAAAAGAAATTATGAGTTTATTTAATAATACCATTACTGTTAGCTTCTTAGAAAGATTTAGCACTGGTTTTAACAATTAAATACATTTGAAAATGTATACTGAGTGTTCAAAATGTTATTTTCCTGGTTTTTCATCAGCGAAATTTTCAATAATTTCTTGCTTTATAAAAATTAAATAATTTTCAATTATTTCTTGCTAATAGAATTTTGTCTGTCTGAATTTGTTACTTCTAAACCATTAAATAAGACATGAACTGTTATCGTGAAGAACTGGGATTCAATCCACAAAGACGGCTTAAAGCCAGATCTATAGATGTCAGCTTTTTTGGTAGTTAAAAGCGGTCTGAGAGCAGTTCTGGCCACATTGCCATAATCATGCCGTTTATCACGAAATTGTTAAGCTTAAACCTCCATGACTGCCTGACCCACAACCTGTTGTTGCGGGAATTCTTTACTTTACTAAACTGTTAAGGACATTTTTGGAGTTTGTACAAAAGGAATAAATTTTAAAATATTTTGAAAAAATTAGTTTTTTTGTCATTAATTTGTATATTACACGAAAATATGTCATTTTGCTGACCACTTGTTTTCATTTTTCTAAAACTTACATAAATGACGCTAGTGTTAATTATTTTTGCTTAAATGTATAATTGGTAAGCGATTTCGTTAAAATGAATTTTCTCAAAATTTAATGAAATTTTAAATGAATTTTCAAATGCCTTGCAAATATTTCTTTTTTTTAAATGAAAGCCACAGAGTTTAATAAATATTCACGTTATACCTAAGATTCGGGTTTCATTGAATTACCTGATAATTTTGATTGAGATCTCAGATAAACTCTTATTATTTTTGACCCTTATTATGTTTGTCAAAACTCAACTAAAAAAAAACACAGAAGTCATGTTATTAAACAACAAAAAAAATTAGAATTACTAAGGTTAAAAGTGTTCCTTAATTGAAAAGTGGACATCCATGATAGGGTCACACATAGCGTGACGATATCAGCGTTAGCATAGTGTTATAAATAGAGGTAAGAAGAGTACACCGCAGATTACAATGACTGTTCAACTAATTCGCACGAGACAATTTTAATTAATATTAAATCATGCTAAAGATAGATGCATTCAGAACTAACATGCAGTAATGCAACTGCAGAATCGGCTGCAGAATATGAACGCAATGCTAAAGCGGGTATTTGTCGTTAAAACGGTGGCTTTTAATTTGAAGCACTCTCTGACTATGTTGTAAGTAAATGGTGTAAATGTTTTCATAGAAGATTGGAACAATGAAACATTTGGGTATACTAGGAAAGCAGAAACCTTGATTTTAAATTGATTTATTGCTATTGTTGGCGTAATGATTCAAAGGAAATCGAAGAATTAAGGTGACATGTGTGCAACACTAACAAGTCTGAGTAAAGGTTCGGTACAATCTACTTCTTCCAATAAAAATCGCACTACTGCGTGTTAGCTATGTTGAAGGAACTTATTTTTCTTTCAATCTTCTCTTTCAAGTCTTAAGATAATTTTAAATGTTCCTTAAAGATCTATATTACTATTTATATGCAATTTGGGGAGCCTTTCGCTTTTAACTCTTAATGGTCTATTGTATTTCTGACATTTAACACACTTCTCTACTTTTCGTTTGAGCAACTCATGTACTGCTGAGCAATAGAAAAATCAAGTAAGCAGCAAAGAATTCAAAATTGAAATATTTATATAGTTAAAATTTTTATATAATAAACTACATATCACAAAAAATATTTATACTAAATTTAGTTTTAATAAGTTTTCTGGAATTCTATATTAGAACTGCAGGCGAGCAACTAAGATTTCACCAGCAATTAGCAAGAGAAAAGAAATACTCGTCAGGCCACAGTCGTCAAGATTCAAACAAAATACTATGTAGATAAAATTTCATGAAAACGTACAAAAATACTGTAAATAAATAAATATTTACAAATGTTGCTTCCTCCGAACTTAATACGTAATTTTATTGCTATAATACTACATAAAATCGAATAAAAGCTCTTACCAGTGAGAAAGATCCTTTTTGACTCCTTAAACTGTGATGCCTGGCGCATGATGGAGTGACACTGTCGCCAGCTCCTGCTGTAGACGTCTTAAAATTATACACCATCTTGGCCAAGTGTTGCTTGAAAAGTTTCGTGGTCAGTGTGTACAAAATGGGATTGATAGCAGAATTGACTGGTAGTAAGAAAACAGCAACCCAAGCATATAGATCTTCCTGAATAGGAACTCCTAAGATAAACGATATTCAACAAAATTGATGATGCAAGTTAAATGTAAAACACTACCTCGTTTTTTCAAGTTTTATTTTCAACTGGAAAAAGTAATGGATAATTTTAATATGTCAATGAATTTAAGTATCGTAATCGATCTCAAATTACTTTGACTCATTTGAAACTTTTTATAGTATAAAATAATGAATTATTTTCTACTAGTAGAAAGCGAAAGGAAATTTCAGACTGAAACTTTATTAAATGATTGATTTTAATATAAAATGTTGTAACACGAATAAAATAGTGATAAGCGATTTTTTAGTCGATAATTAATTCCCAATGTTTCCTAGTGAAGGACTCCACACTTCGTTCTACACAAGTAAGCTTGGAATAGATAATTCATTTGCGCATGAGGCAACTTGTATGAAAAAATATGTAAAGATAAGAAAAATTAGAGCGGTAACAAATAAGTATCTTAAAATCTATTTCGTTGGAAAATTTAAAAAAAATTTTTCTTCCTCGCCAACCACTTGGTATATTATGAATCAATCAGATATATAACAATTTGGATAATAGCATAAAATTTCGTCGACCACGAAAAAGGGCACAAATTTAACCAAATAGACACCAAATCGTTTTAGATTGTAACCAATGCATATTTAATAGAAATTAAAGCAAAAAGCTATTTGTTTTTTCTTTAAAAATGCTGAAATTCCTGTTTTAGAGCATACATTAAAAAAAAGAAACTTCACAATTAGTGTACATGAATAATTCGTTTTTGAAATATATCCTAAGAACAATTCTTGGTTCTCGACTTGTAAGAGGGAGTAGATAATATATCGACTATTTTCGAATGAAGTTGTTGTAGGAGAGTTTTTCATAACTAACCTAGCAAGTTCCATTTAATATACGCTCTGAATATTTAATATACACTCACAATATTTAATATATATTCTGAATATTTGATATACACTCTGAATATTTAATATATTTTCTGAATATTTAATATACATTCTGAATATTTAATATGCATTCGAAATATTTAATATACATTTTAAGTATTCAATATACATTCTGACTATCTAATATGCATTCTGAATACTTAATATCCATCCAGAATGTTTAATGCATATTCTAAAAATTTTAATATACATTCTGAATATGATAGATTAGCTCGTTCCATTTAATATACTCTATAAATCATTTAAAACAGACTAATGACAAAAGTTTTAAATTAAAAAGAAGATACTGATTTCGAATAGTTGCAACGTATAGGATCGTTGTCGTGAAAAATTGTATAACTTTATCTCTTCAAATATTTAATTTTCATTAAATAAGATTAAGTCGATTTTTTTAAATTATAACTTATTTTGCATAAAGGGATTGTAAATTGTGTAAAATTGAGACCTATTGAATGCATTTCCTTCAGAAAAATTACAATACCAAGTCATTAGAAGTATGTTCTTAATAAGAATAAGAAAAATACTAATTAGTCAAATGAGCTCTTTTCTCGTTTGACTAATTATTGTTATTGAAATTTGTAAAGCATTAGTTCTATTTTGTGTAATCAGTAAATCAGGTAATTGTGTAATTAGTGAATCAGTGAAGAAAAACATCATTTTTCTAATTACAAACTTTTAAATAATGATGAATATGACAGTTATAAAAAAAAAACACTATGTTACTGAATAAAGGAAACTTTGCGATTGATTAAATAAGACTTGTTATAAAATAAATAATTTGCTATTTAATTAAATAAACTTTCAGTGCAGTGAAGCATTTCTTTTTGTAATTTTGAATTTTATATATAAGGGTTATAGTATAATAATAGAATGCATTTGAAGCAAGCCGAATTTTTGTAATATCTTAGTTTAGGTAATAAACCAAGAAAAGAAAAAATTACTAACTAGGCTTTTAAAGTGGAAAGAGCAGATAATCATTACATTTCCGTCAGACTCAATACGAAAATGAAGAACGCAATTATTGTCGATACAAAGTGAAGCATTTCCGCAACAGCCCGTCGTGAGCCAGGGAGGGTGAGTCTACTCAATTTTATGACCAACATTATGATTGCGGCAACGTGGTTAGCACTATGAACAGGCCGCTTTTACTTCCGAGGCAAGTTTATACCCATTGATCTGAATCTGGTGAATTTCTGGTCGCAATTGGGAATCGAACCCTTATAATGACAGTTTATTGCGTTAACCACAAAGCCATCACGGTTCACGCATGTGGAAATTTTTGAATGTGATTGAAGTTTTTTGTAAAACTGATACACCCTACGCTTTCGTTCGCAGTAAAACAAAAAAACAAAGCGCGCTTTATTTTCGATAGACAAATGAAAAGTTTTGAAGGTGATAAAAATTTATTGCGAAAGTGATACGCTCCACGTTTTTCGTTTCGGTCTGATAAAAATAGAAATATTTTCTCCTTCAGTCCACTAAAAAACGAAATTTTAAAAATTTGTCTTCCATTTCGTCGTTTTCTTCTTTTAGTGAATTTTCTTTTGGCCATTCGTTCTACGAGTACTTAAAGTGATCAGACGACCATGGAAACTTGCATTGCCATGATACATAGAACTCAAAGTGATCACTTCAGCTAGTCAAAAAATTGAAATTTTACTAGCGACATTTTCTATTTGTCGGTAGTTTGATAATAAATTATACTTGTAGAAGTTAGAAAATGATTTGAAATTTTGATAACATCCAGCACAGAGCTTCAATTAAAATATTAGTGCTGCACTGAGCCTTAAAAATTTGGAAATTTGTTTAACGATAAATACCTATTGGAAATAATATTGCAATAGATTTTGCTTGCAATGGTCTACGGAGCTTCAGTAAAGGGGAGAGTATCCAGGCTAATCGGAAAATGGCCGAAATTTTGATTGCCAGATTCCATGGTTACAAACACGAAAGCTAACTAATAAAAATGCAGTAAATTCGTGTTTAGTATAAAAATGTGTTTGTTTAGACTTCATAAACATTTTCTCGGAAGGAACGATCGTTATTTTCAAGTGACAGTAAGACAAAGAAATACTCATTTACCTCCCATGGCTATGACTTTAATGAAAACGATGGGTACCCAGCACAAGAAATCGGTGGCAACTATGAAGAAGAACCTCTTGGCGATATTCTGATCCTGCTGTTGTTGTGTGCATCTTAGACCTATCTTAGAATGTGAAATGGTGAAAAACATGGAAATGTAGGCGAACAAAATGAAGAGAAAAGCTGCGAAATTTAGACCGCAAAATATGAAAGTTGAATACTCCCATGCCTGAAAAGAATATACAAAAATATAATAAAAATATATGATATAATGAGTTTTTTTTATGTTAGAGAAAAATTCTCATTATCAGAGATTTAAAGAGGGACAGTATCAAAAAAATAATAACTATTGACGAAGATAAGACTGAACTGAAGGCAACAAAATCTGTTTGATAGGCGTAGGAAACAGGAATTGAAAAGCGATTATCAGATACGCCTTCAAGTTTTCACCAAGCAATAGACTTTTTCAGGTTTTTCATGCTATAGAGCAGTGTTCCCCAACCACCAGTCCACGGACCGGTACCGGTCCGTGGTACAAATGGTACCGGGCCGACCATTTCATTGAAACTGAATTTAAATTCCTAGGTTTATACCCCAAATTAAAAATATCTGGTAAGGAATGGATGTGCTACCCATTTGTNACGCCTTCAAGTTTTCACCAAACAATAGACTTTTTCGGGTTTTTCATGCTATAGAGAAGTGTTCCCCAACCCCCGGTCCACGGACCGGTACCTGTCCGTGGTACAAATGGTACCGGGCCGACCATTTCATTGAAACTGAATTTAAAGTCCTAGGTTTATACCCCAAATTAAAAATATCTGGTAAGGAATGGATGTGCTACCCATTTGTCAACAAATCGGGCGAATCTAGTATGTGTGTGCAAGAAGATCAACTGCTCGAGATTGCAAATGACGACGGCAGCCTTAAAACTACGTTCGAGACAACAACTCTGTCGGTGTTCTGGATTAAAGACATGGCAGAATACACCGAGATTGCCACCACAGCACGTTAAATCCCTATTGCCATTTCCGACAACCCATCTGTGCGAAGCTGGGTTTTCTGCAGTAACAGCAACCAAGACAAAGCAACGGAATAAACTGGACATAAGCAACACACTTCGGGAGTCATTGTATCCGATTACCCCCGGATGGAACAGTCTCATTGCAAAGAAAAANATTGATAAACTACCACTTTAAAATATATATTTGCTGTCCGGAGCAAGTTAGCATCGATGTATATTTTATTATTAAATAAATAAGTGTTATAGCTTACAATCATATGTAAATGATAAATATCAATAAAACTATTTTTTTTCTTAGCTTTCACATTGTAATTCTCGAATACATTCGAGTGTGAAAAATTATAGCAGCATAAACCCTTCTCGAATTATCTCGAGTGTGCGCAGTTTGGCCTGTTCATCGCGCTCGAATTAACTCGAGCGCACAAGTTAAGGGGTCAATAAGTATTTTCTTTAAATCAAAAATAAAATCAAGCCGAATAAGAACTGTTCTTAAAGCAAATTTAAATCACATAAAGTTAAACATACTAACCTGTCTGTAGTGATGACAGCTAATATGAAAATGGAAGCTTCACTACTCGTGGTTGAAATGAAACCGGCCACGTTACACTGCCAGCTATGACGCCAATTAGTTTCATGATGAATGTATTCTCCTCTAAAAATAACATCATAAGCAGCTATGACAAATAAGTAAACTGACATAAGAAGATCGGCCAATGAGAGATTCTTGATGTAGAAAGAGTGTACTTCATTTGGTTCTGCGAAGAGGAATCTTCCAACTAAGACAGCTACGTTCCCAAGTCCTGCTACAAATGCCACTAGCCACACGCTGACGCGAAGCACTACACTGTCCAGCAAATGAGCAATACTACTGATGCCGTCTCCTCTAGGCTCACACACGCGCACGTGTAAAGCCAAGGAACATAAATGAAAATCATCAAAATATCTGCAAGAATAAAAACAAAATATCTATGTAATTCTTCACAATTATGAGTCTTTTAATAAATAAAGAAAAGTATTAAGCGTCTCCCATTTTTACAAATTTCTTAGTTAAAAAAAATCACTTTGGAATGTAAAGTGCTTAAAAAAATAAAATAAAAAACTGACCCCCTGAATAACTTTAGATCTATTGAAGGGATTTTCACGTTCTATGATTCATTCTTTATGGTTTGAGGGGATGACCTCAAAAATGCTAATTAATTAGTGTAGACGATATTTTAAGTTACGAAATTAGACACAAAAACATACTTTCTCTGAATAAGTATACCCTTTTTCCCAACGGATTCGGGTTTCTAACCGTCCAAAATATGGGGGGCACAATCTGGGAAATATGGTCCCCATAGTTTGGTCAGGAGGGCGATCCAAAATTTGAACTTCTTAATATTAATTTTACTTGTTGCTTATTACTTTTTGTATTTACTTTTTGCCCTTTTTCAAGAGCTTTCTAAGCAAATTTAATCGTTTTTACACACAGTCATAAACTTCATTTATCCAAAGATAATTCCTTTCAAAAAATAAATTTTGGTAGATATTTATTATTTTTTATTATTTTATTTAATAATAGTCGATAAAGATTTGAATTGTTAAGTATACAATTTCTTACATCATTTTAAAGTATTTAATTTCAAATGGCAAAATCCAATATTTAAGCAAAAATAGTTGAATAGTTCCAGAGAAATTTAATTGTATACATACGAGTTTTTTCGAAATTCGATTTCCCTGGAAATATTCGACCAATTTCGCACAAATTTTGTATTTTGCCATTTAAAATTGCATTTCTTAAAATTATGTAAAAAATTGTATACCTTACAGTTGAAAATTTTTTCTATCATTAGTAAATAAAATCTTGAGATAAACGTAATTGTGTGTAAATTTTTTTAAATTCACTTAAGAAGTTATCGAGATATGGGGAAATACGCAAAAAGTAAAATTAACATTAAAGGGTCCAAACTTGGGATCGCTCTCTTAATCAAACTATGGGGACCATATTTCCCAGATAGCGGCTAACCCCTATATTGTGATAGTGGAACCTGTAAAAGTGACCACCTGGGTAAAGTGAACGCCTGAGTAAGGAGACCATTTTCTACAAGTTTTATTTCAAGGGTCCTTTTTAAAGAGTCTTCGTAAAGTGACCACCTCTATATAGTGACCATTTGACTTGGTCCCGAGGGTGGTCAATTTAGACAGGTTCCACTAATTAGAAATCCGAATTCGTCAACAAAAAGGTATGTTTATCCACAGAAAGTACGTTTTTGCGCTTGACTGCTAAAGTATCGTCTGCCCTTATTAATCAGCATATATAGGTCACCCCCTCGAACCATTAAGATTGAATCCTGAATCCGAACATTAGATCAAAAGTTATTCAGGATGGTCAGTTTTTTTTCGCACTGTACATTGATAATACACGTGAAATAGAACTTGTTTCTGCGCTATGTGCATTTTGAACCGTTGGAAAAATAACCTCAATAACACGGAGTTTTTCTTTCAGAAACAAATAAATTAATAAAAATTTAGATTTAGGTGTTTAAAACGTAACGTTTGTAATAACTACATAAATAATAAGACATTTAAGCAACTACTCATGTCAAATTTGAGCGCAGTTTAAGACATTTATGTCTGTATAATTAGTGCATTATGAGCAAATACTAGCTCATTTTATTTCATATTTGAAACTAAAATTGGACATCTCGCGTGTTTTTTGTTTTGTTTTATGTCTAATTGTGACAATAACGAATAATTAAAATGTAATGAATGTACTTTACTGCTTCACAATTGTTCGATATTTTAATCACAGTTTTGCTCTTGAATCTTTTCTGGGTCGTATTCTTCATCTAAATAAATTGTTGAGCAAAAAATTTACAAATACAATAATTTGTAAATACATCTATGCAATAATTTATGATCATTTCGCTAACTAAAAAAATAAAAACAAAAAAATTAGTTCATAATCTCAAACAATTCATTCAGTTTAAAATGAAAATAAGAAAAATGCTTTTTTTATTCACGATTGGGGGTTGAATAGTTGGAATAATTAGTTCTTCTTACATGTAATCTAAAGAAGTCAATGGTTCAAATACCGTCCTTGTGATTCTTTTCAATTCATTTCTTTTAAAGTCTCTAAAATAAAATAAAATAAAACAACTGAATTAGAATAAAATATTTATATTCATTAATGTATTTATAATAAACATATTTTTGTTTATTAAATACATATGCAGAATTCTCATGTTGAAATAAGTGTTTTCATATTAAATAATAACTATTTTTTACATTTGTATGCACTCGGCAATCACGTGACATGACTTTTTTTAACGGAAGTTGAAGAAGATTCTTGAAATCAATATTTTATATATTTTTTATTTTTAAACAAAATGAGGTGAATTACGTAGAAAATTAGCGAAACGGGGAATTGTTTTAATCTTTGCGTTACGCAAATGCTTATTAGTTCCATCAGAAAGTCCTCTACGAAGGCTATTTCAAATCTATGTTTGAAACAGGAGTTGTTTTCTGGGTTGGGTTCAAAATTGCAAAGCTATGAATTGAACATCGATATCTGTAAATCCAAAAATTGGATGGCTGTTAAAAGTCTGTAATGCTAATTCACGTAAGAAATAAATTAAAATATTTCTTATATGGATAAATTTTATTTGTAGATTTCAGTGATGACGGCTTTCTCCTTCTAGAATGCCCTGTCCAGAATGGAGCGAAATACTTTTTAAGATACATTAAATCAAGAAAAAAGTATCTTTATGACTAACTGCATGAGGTTTTCATCGCCATGCCATGTACACATACGCTCTTACAAAAGCAACTACAACTGGCAGTTAGATCATATATTTATTCTCTTAATATAAAAGGAAATTTGGAGGTAGAAAAAATGACCACCGTAGCCAAATGGTCGGAGAACTGAAACTTTCAAATTAAATAACTGTTTGAATTACTTAGAAATAACAATTGTCTATTTCTAAATCATCATGAATTTAAGAGGCTAAAAATAAGGTATTACAGAAACTTACATTGATTCTAAACTGATCAACCCATTGAAAGTGTCCGGATCTATGTGCTTGATGTGATTTCCTTGTACGTCTCTAGAAGTAAAACAAAAGCAAATACAATATATAATTAGCTATAAATTTTCGAGTTAGTGAATGGTTAGATTAAAGAATTTTTACTATGAATAAACTTTTCGAGCGATGATTTAAACTTTTAAAAAGAATTCCAAAATTTAAAAGATGGAGTATAATTTAGAGACAACCGATGTGCTTGCCAAGAATGCCTGTGATCTTCCTACGGACTGTTTGAACCGTATTACTCCCACTGAGATCCACTCCCCGGGAAAACATCGTTTGCTTCCAGTGTGGCGCCATATTCCATCCCATCAGTGGTATGCTGGCAACCGCTCTGGTCTATCATTAACATGCTGCGGCCCTCGGCCTTTCCAATCGACCATGGCCAGATTTTGTAGTGGAGATCTTAAGTGTTTGAGGTTTCAAAATGGGTTGAAGACTTTCCAACCTTGTTCCTGCTCACAACTTGCTAGTCCTGATTACTTTCTTCTTTGCCTTGGCGCTTCTTCTTAGCAGCTGCTGGTTGATCGGGACTTTCTGCAGATATAAGGGGAACTGACGCGACGGGGCCTTCTGGACCTGGTCTAGGCTTTTCTTCTACAGGGGGGTACGTAACAACAACAACACAATTTAGAGAAAACTACTTATGGAGAATTAGCAACGATTTAAGTAGTTCAGTAATAAAAATTCAGAACAAATTTCGCGTAATTGTTGTACATCAAGAAAAAATTATACTGAATAACTTTTGACTTTTCGAGATCGTATAATTTATTAAAGGAAAATAATAAAATGCTAAATTGATTGATTTTAAGTTCACTAAAAATGCGTCACGAGACACAAGGATATGAATAACAGTTTAAAAATATAACTTTTTGTTTAAACCTAGTTCTGTTTTCATAGGGATTACCATACCAAATTAGTCTTAATTGTGTATCGATGTGTTCGTGGTTAGAGATTTTCACACTGAATCTTTCTGAGCACTATAAGTTTCTATTTGTAAGTAAAATAACTTTAGTTTTACAAGTTGAGAAAAATATCATTAGGCCTAAACTATTATTTTATCGATCACGGTGTGGCATAAAAATGATTCGATAATTACATCGTCAAAATAATTAGATAAGTGATTAACGCAACTTCTAGCCGATGGCATCGGAGAAGTTGCTCAGAAAACTTCCCCTTCTAAACAAAATTAAATTATCCAATTACAAAATCCAATTAAAAAGAATATATAAAAGCAAATAAAAAAAGAACAGAGAGATAAGATTGATGAAGAATTTTTTTTTCTCTGTTAAAAAAAATATATATCTAGAATTTAGAAATTACTAATAAATTATTTAAAACTTTCGATACGCAAAGATTATAAATAAAATAGGAATTACAAAAACATTTAAACAAAATGTAAATAAATAAAAAGAAATAGAGTAAAAATGTAGGTATTATTAATCAAAAGGATAAAATTAGAAGTAAATAAAAAAAAGTAAAAACGTAGAAGCAAAAAAATGAACAAATTAAAAGTTTAGATAAAGTGAATGAATTAAATCTGTAAAATTTAGATGTTAAAGTAAAATTAAATGTAAATAAAAAATAATGCAAAAATGAATAAAAAAAACTTAATTTAAAAAAAAAATAACTTACTAAATAACTAAACTAACTTACTAAATAACTAAAAAATAAAACTTACAACTTATAAAGTGTGCTCATGTTTCCAAAAGACGTTGAATGAAGAGCAGATATTTTGTTTTCAGAGATTGCCCTGTGAAAAAAAATATTCATTTAAAAAAGAAGGAATATTTGAAATAATGAAATCAAATAGTGGCATAGAGAAATGATTTTTATTTTTTTACATTACTTACAAAGTTTTTAAGCTTTTTAGACCAACCCAGTAGCTCATATGCACATATGTTAACTGGTTCCAAGACAGATATCTGGAAAAAAATTAATTTTAGAATGCTTATTTCAAAACAATTCAGATTTAATTTTAAATACACAATCTTGTATCACTTTGTGTAAAAGAAAGATTAGCAGATAAGTTTTACTATGTGTCCCAAAATTTCCGCAAGAAGTAATTTTAATAGAAAACATATGTTTTAAATTTATATTTGAACAGTACGCAAAAAAATAAGTAAATAAAGATTGAAAACGGAAAGCCTGGAATAACTTTCAATGTAATGATCGGAATTTAACTACTAAGATTCAATCTTAATAGTTCACAGAATTTATCTGATATATACCTTTTTTTTTAATGGGATTAGATTCTTGATCCTCGAAATATAGCAAACAGCTGCAATTTTTGAAATAATAAGGTTCCAATTGTTAAGAAAACAGATGGGTAAAAATTAAGAACCTTTTAATGTTAATTTAACTTTTTGCATATTTCGCCATATTTCGTGAACATTTTAAGAGGATCGAACAAGTTTTACACACAATTATAAAATTCGTTTATCAAAATAAAATAATACGCAAAAAAACGATGCCCAATAATTACTTATCATTTATTATTATTTTAATTTATAATAGTGGAACAAAATTTGAATTGTAAGGTAAGGAATACAAATTTTTATATAATTTTAAGGAATATGATTTTATATGGCAATATACATCATTTAAGCGCAATCGGTCAAATAGTTTCTGTGATATAAATTTTTTTTAACTCCTATTACTTAAACAATGTTAAAGCTAAAATTATTATTAAGAATTTATTTAAAATTTGATTTTACTAGAACCATTCGGAAAATGTCCTGAGGAGAGTAATATGATCTATTAATGACGGCAAATAGAGAATTAGGTCGAACCTAGAAATTGAGCAAATGATAAATGGAAAAAATATTGTTATCAAAATTCAGTGCTTCTCATGGCTTGGACAAAGGAGAGACAATGATTGCGGCTTGAAAAAGATCATCAACTGGACACCTATGGGAATCAGGCTCAATGGCCACCCAAGGAAAAGGTGGAAGGACGACATTATTAAAGACTTAAAAATAATGAAGATGGCGGGAGTAGTGAAAACAGAGAGCTGTATGGATTAGAAATGTGGAACAAGCTCACCAAGGGCTGTAGAGCTATAGAAGAAGGAGAAGAATAACCATTCTGCCATTTTCGTTCAAATTTTTTGTTTTGACGTTTGAAATCGCATAACTTAAAACTCAAAATTTTCGATCATTATTACTGAAAATGAAAAAATAAAAAATTATTATTAAAAATATTTTTCGCACAGTAATAGTAAAAGTTCTTGAGATATGGCGAAAGATGCAAAAAGTGAAATTAACATTAAGGGGTCCAAACTTTCGATCGCTCACCTGCCTAAGTTTTAGAAACCCTATTTCAGAACGCGGCTACCATCAAGTTTTTGAGTATTAGGAATCCAAATTCGTCGGGAAAAAAAGATATGTTTACACAGTAAAAGAACTTTTTGGTGTCTGGTTTCGAAACGTAAAATTTCATCGGCACTAATTAATTAATTTATTAAGGATTGTGCTGCAATCCTTAAGACTGCGTTTTAGTACGTGAAAATCCAAACTTTAGATTAAAAGTTACCCAGGGTGTCCTTTCTTTTCGTGCACTGTTCAATTTTAATGATGATTATAAACTATAAAGTATGGAGAAATATATGGAATATCATATTACGTAAATGATATCCATGTTTTAAATTGACAATTAGCATTTTCAATCAAAATTTTAGGTATCAATTGCATAAATGTAGTTAAATTTCATTGAGTCAGCGCTCAGTTTCTTCTTTCAAGGCGTGGGTGGCTTGTGATTTTGTTCTCATGTATCTTAGATTTAGGAATTTTGTGCAAAAAACGAGTGTTCTGGATGAGTTGGTTTAGATAAATTGAGTGGTTTAGACGGGAACTTGTGATAAACAAACCGAAACATTGCCTAATTAAGAAATGTCTAAAAATGTTTATAAACTGTTCAACAAATGGTGCCATTTTCAAATCTGCTTGAATTTTGGGACAGCCCTAATTTGTAAAAAAAAATCATAATAAAGGCTAGTTAAAAATACTTACAACATTTCTAAATTTGAAAGTTTCTGAAACACTGATTTTGTAATACCTGTGAGCTGATTGTGATCCAAAAACCTAAAAGATATTTTTAATAAAGAGGCAAATGAATTATATTTATTTTAAAGTAAACTGCAAACAAATCATCGCTAAAGCTAAAAATAATTCACAAAAAACGCTATTAACAGTCAAGACAAAATTTTAAAGAAATTTCCCTCACATATTAACAAGAGAAAAACAATCATATTCTTCAAAACATTACTCTGCAAAAGTTTTATACGTGATTTGTTAGCATTTTATTATAACAACACACTGCGATAACTTTTACGAAAAATGAATGGCTAAAAAAGGAAGAGAGATAATATTTTTTGAATGGCAGTTGCAATATTCTGAAAATTAGCAAAGTTATGATCCTGGAAATATTGAATTTTTTATTGCAAGAAGAAAATTCATTAAGAAAAGCGCACTCATTATTTTTTAATATTCAAGATTTTCAATGAATTGTAATATTTGGTAGCATAAACATTCTGTTAAAATTTCTTTTTGGGATAATCTTTTTTTTAAATCTAGCGAAATTAAGGCAAACTTTGTAAAAGTTTGATAATTTACATTTGTTCGCTAATTTCGATATTATGCTTTTGATTTCGACTATGCATTCTTACGACTTTGCAATACAAAAGGATTTAAAAAAGGATTTTTGAGAGAATATACTAACCCACATTTGCCTTACTGATGTAGAGAAAAACAATATAAACTTCCTCTCGAGACTCTAACACAATATCTGCTGTTATTGAATGCGTTTTTGAAACATCCCTGTGTCATTTTTAAGTGGAAATCAACATATGAATCATACCCCAGCCCTCCCTAGGACGTGAACCACCATTTATTTAATTTATTCAACATTAAGTGTATGTTCAAAATCTTTCGAAACCATTAGCATTAGATTTTACCCTAGTATAATTAGTGCAAAATAATTATTCTTCAACAAAAACTTAAAGTTATGTAACAAAAACTACATAAAAACAAAATTATAACAATATTGTACTTATTTTTATAAAGTTTCGCTTAGATTTTGTGACCGCGCATTCGCCTACTATTAGTCTTGATTGTAGTATTAGCATTCATTAATTAACACATAAGTATAGAAAATGTTCAAGTAAACAAAAGAATATATCGCTTGAAAAAGTTGCAGTTATCTATAAAACTTCGTATAGTTATATTTTTGAATACTTCAGTGATGATCATTATAAAACACATCAATCGAAAATATTAAATTCAAAAGAACATTTTAAAAGAACATTAAGCATAAAAATCATTGCCAAAAAAGAAACTTACAATATTTTTAAATTGACTAGACTATCAAATACACCGGATGGGAGATCCTTTAAGAAACAGTGCCGGAGATCCCTGTAAAAAAATAAATGAATTTTAAAAATAAATATTTATACCTTCAGAAAATGTTTGCGTTTTGTAAAGTTTACAAACAATTTAGCATAATTTTTTCATTAATCTTTGTTGCATATACTACGCTAGAAAAAATGTGAAATTTCAAGATTTTATATTTACAAGTTTGTGTGCTTTTTTAAGTTTACAAACTTGTTCTTTGAATTTTGCAATTTGTGACAGACGGAAATTTTTTTTCTACCTCTGTCTATTGAGTGTACCAAAATTTATTTGATATTTGAGAAATCAATTAAATAAAAACTGGAGAAGATAAAAATTTATTGTTTGCTACTTTCATAAGAGGCGGGATGGAGTCCCATGGAGATTCTACTACACATTTTTTTTACAATTTTACAATTAGTTAAAGTTCTTGAACAATGACACAGATGGCAATACAACAAAAACTCACAAAATTCTCTACAATGAGATCATGCTAAAATAATTTAATTCCGATGGCAGGTAAAAATAGTTGTCATCAGTAGTGCCATAAGCCAAACAGTCATTTTTTGTTAGTGAATATTGATTGAAGTAAAATTATTGAAATTTATAAAAAATGTTACAAATAATAAAATTCTCACAATGTTTCCAAATTCTGTAATCCTTTAAAAGCTCCCTCTGATAACACTGTGATAGGATTATAAGACAAATCCCTAAAAAGAAAAATGTGTTTTAAAATTATTAACGATTAAAATCACAGAGAACTATTACTAGTTCATTTTTTTATTTATTGCTAAAGATAGTTAAAACATTGTAAAACAGACATTTGCCAGAAAATAACAAAGAAAATAATATGCAATTGATAACATTAATTGAACTTTTAACGAAAATAAACGGAAATCAGAATATGCATGCTACAGGTTACAGTAATTAAATCCTGGTAACCTGAGTTGTCAATGAAAAATTCTGTTGATTAGAAGTTTTGTCTTTACAAAATAATCATAATATTTTATTTCACAAGTAAACTTAAGTCAGCCATTCTAATTATCTTTTTTAATCTTCGACATTCGCTCATTCAAATATCACGCATTATAAGATTAAACGATTTCTATTTAGATTAATCCAACACAAAACTAATAATAGTATCTCCACCACATTATATTACAAATATTTTTTGCGTTTCTTAAGTACCATTTGGAGTACTATGCACATCTAACATATTTACTTTATTTTTGTTTAACGCAAGTTAAGTTCTGTATTTTTAAACAAGTTTGACTCCATTTAAAAAAATAATCCCTCTTTATTAACGTAATTTTCCTCATGAAATTGCATTTCGAAAAATATCATCAATAATCGGTGATTTTAATTGGATCTGAGCTTCATTGTCTCAATAAACTCTCAAATACCACAAGTCAACTTTTATGTTAATTCTGTTCAAATATTACCAATACCAGGGTTACATAACAGTAGTACTTAAGAAATTAAAAAGATGTTTGCAAATATAAAGGAAGTAAATCTATTTTAAAATTCCGCTAATCACCTTATTATTTTGTCAGTTCAAAAGAGAAAAACACAGATTTAAATCTCGGATATTCAGACTTTAATTCAAAAGTAAGAGCTAAGAAAGTAACATTAACAAACTTTATGTTCCTTAGATATACCATATTAAGGCTCAAGATATTTTTATAATAAATAATTTGTTTACACTATTTGAATAAATAAAGATGGTTATAGTTTCAGTTCTTGATAGTTTTGTTTGTATTTTATTTGTATTTCAATATTATCTAACAGAACCTGAAAAGTCAGGTATCCTTTTATCATATCAGGTATTCTTAAGACTTGTAAGTGATGGTATCTCTAAATGCACATACTTTTATAAATACCATCCTATAAAATATTTGCAGACTCTTAGACAAAAAGTAAATAATAAATTGCACTTTCCAAAAGGTTTTAAAAGTAATATTCAAGGAATATGAAAATATACAGGGTGTTTATTAAGTCCCGGACCCATTTTGATGTTTAATAACTCATAAAATAATAAAGATATATTAAAATTAATAACATAAATGGTTAGATAGACTCAAAAAGTTTCATGACCCTTGTCAATGAACTTCCACGTGTGTCCCCTTCGTCGCGCGGAGAATATCAAGTCGATAGTCAATTTCACGCCAGGTAACGGCAAGAGGCTACTGTGGTTGTAATTCTGGCATTTCATGTTTCTGGCATTGTTAATCGCCATAATGTGCGCATATGGGGATCTGAAAACCCCCATGAATACCGTGAGACACAAAGGGATTCCCCAAAGGTTAATGTGTGGTGTGGACTAATGCACGACCGAGTCATTGGGCCTTTATATTTTACAGAAAAGACAGTCTCATCAGTCGTATACTTAGACATGTTGGAAAACTTCGTATTTCCACAACTAGAAGAGCTTCAACCGCATGTCTTTTTGCAACAAGATGTTGCACCACCTCATTGGGGTATCATCGTTCATAGTTCTTTGAATGACTATTTTCCAGAAAGATGGATTGGGCGAGGAGGTCCATTCCTTGGCCACCCAGATCACCTGATATACTGCCGCTGGACTTTTTTCTTTGGGGATTTGTAAAGGACAATGTTTACAGGAGGATCGTGTCGAACGTTGATGACCTAAAAGCCAGAATTACAACCGCAATAGCCTCTGTGGATGCCGACATGTTTGCCGCTACCTGGCATGAAATTGACTATTAACTTGATATTCTCCGTGCGACGAAGGAAAGTTCATTGACAAGGGTCATGAAACTTCTTGAGTCTATCTAACTATTTATGATTTTAATTTTAATCTATCTTTATTATTTTATGAGTCATTAAACATCAAAATGGGTCCGGGACTTTATAAATACCCTGTATATCATCCGAATATCCTTAATCAATATGGAGGAATGTGCTATTAAAAACGCCAAAATATCAGTTCTGTTTATGGAAGAAAATGAGAGGAAGTGGAAGGTGATTATCGGTTAGTAATCCACCTGATTTCGATGATTTTAATCCCATCTTCAACTCACTAAAATATTATTTTTTGACCTTTAAAAGGCTGATCAATTAACATTCATTATTGACAAGAATTCCAAAATGTGATGATGTAAATATATTCCTGTGTGTCATCCATATTCAAAGAGTGATGCGTTTTAGAAAAATAATTAAATCAACATATAACTGTAGTGTATACATTTAAAGCATTGTAGGAAGTTAAACTTTTATAAAACTTACAAGAAATTAAGCTGCGAATTTGATTCCATAGTTCCTTCACTGATACCATTGATTTCGTTGTTTGTAAGGTATCTAAGCACAATAAAAGATTATTTATATAATATATAAAAGCAAGTAACATAGATTACATCAAAAATTAATTAAAAGTAAACGATAGCATATTATAAACCAAGGAAAATTGCAAATTTATTCATTGTATATGAATATTTGGAGAAATTTGCTTTCGTGGAGAACTCATGATAGAACTAACCCGCAGTTGCGTTATATGAAGAGAAAAACTACGAAAATTTCCCACGGTTAGGGGACTCCAACCCATGATACGTCTACCACTGTGTAATTTAACAACGAAAGTTCTAATATTAGAAAAAACTACACAATTACTGCAATGAAAATTTATAAAACCGTGGTGGCCCAGAGTATAGAGCGCTCGCCTCCTAATGTGGTGACTCAGTTTCGAATTTCAGCGGCGGCTGGTCGGTAAGAATTTTGCATCCAGCTCGCACTAGCCACATTGCTAAAGTAAGACATCCACAGTGGTAGACGGATCATTGGTTTTAATATCCTTGCTGCCAGTTTAAACATAAGAGGTTTTCGTGGTTTTCATATTCATCTAACGCAAATATGGGTTAGTTCCATAAAAAAAGTCCTGTATGAATGATAGTTTCTCTCAATGCTTAATCCAGAAGCTCCTTTGGTTGTGTTCAAAGAGCTGTTGAATTGAACACTGGTTGTCATAAACTCAGAATTGGGTCGACTGTTCAACGCTGGATAGGAAATAAAATGGAAATTTATAACACCGTCTTACACACATTTAAGGGATGTTGTAAAAAAAGGTATTGAATGCTAATAAAATATTCCCAAATGGCTAAAAAAATAATAGATCAAAATAAATAATTGGAAATTAATCAATTTTAGTAAAAATTTTACAATAAATCACTTTTAAATATTTTATTAATAGAGGAAACAATAATGTACTTACAAGTTTTTTAGAGAGGGCAAATTTTTGAATGCATCCTTGTTTATAAGCGTAACCTTTGAGCCTTTCAAGATTCTAAAACAAAATGACACTGTTAACGTTTTTGCTCAAAAATTATTTGTATAAATTATGGTTGTTTTAACACTTCAACGCAGAACTTAATACAATTAATAAAAAAATATCTATAGCACAAATATGATTTTATTCAGTGTTACCAATTTTATTGTTACAACATAATGGAAGAAAATATTAAAAAGTTAAAAAAAAAATACTTACAAAACTTGAATATTTTCATTTCGCTGGAATGATTTTGTATCTAAAATTTGTAAATGGTTTTCCGACAAATCCCTGTGAAAATAGAATATAAAACTAAATTACAATGCGTTTTTTTTAAAAAAAAATAATAATAATAAGAGCTTCACTAAAAATATGATGGTTTTTCTTATGACGTATGATTAATTTTGAGTTATGACTAATTTATATATAATATTGGAAAATATGTTTATTTTATCTCATTAAAGTTTAATGTGATAAAAATAAAATTTAATGAGATACATGAAAAAATAATCCTATAAGATGACAATTTAACGAGAAAAGAAAAATAATACAATTCTAAAATCGTTTTGTAACTAAAAAGTATAACTAAAATACATTTAATAAATTTTTTTACAGTCAAAACTTCATATACATTTATTTCATTTGGTTTAGAACAATTTTCGTAAAAGAAAGTTTAATTTGAGCCGTAAGGGAATTATGGAAGACAAATGAACAAACACAAAAAATTAACCTGGAGTTAAGGTAATTAATTGGTCATAGAATTTAAAACAATTAATGACATTATTTTACTTTTTAGCCTTAATTATTCAAATTAAAAATAAATGCAATTTCTTTCAAATTCTTCAGCGGAAAAAATAGATTTAATAAATTTTTTGCAGTTCAAATTTTATTTACATTTAATTTGTTTCAAAACAATTTTCTTAAATGAAAGTTTAATTCTAAACTTAGAAGAACTTCAAAAAAAGTTTCGGTTTTAAGATTATGTTCTTACTGATTTTTATGCAGGGAACTTAAATTTAATAACTTTTGTTTCAAAATATCTAAATATAAGTGAATAAAAAAGATTTTTATAACTTACACTTCTTGAACATTTTTTGGTAAATCATGAGGAGGTTTAGAGAGGCTTTGATGATCGCAAAATAGCTTGAACTCGGAACATCGGCATCCAAAGGGTATAGAATCTAGTTCTGCAATAAGGAATTTTGATAATTAATAAGAAAGTGGAAGGAGAAATAATCAAACTCACATGTATTTAATGATTTCATGAATTATTTTATTAGATTTTTTAACAGGTTTTTTGATATAGTTAAATTTAATACTACTTTAAAAATCATTCTATATTATATTTAATTATTTCTCGGTGATTTTTGCAGAATTTGAAGATAATTATTAGTGCCACACTTTCAAAATTTTCAACATTTTATAACAGCTTTTCAAAACCTACATCAATGTTTTTTTATGAATGACAAAATGTCATAAATTCATTTGCAAATGCTGTTAAGTCATTAAATGCATTAAAAAATAATCTGCATAGGAAAATTTTTTTCAACTACCATATAATTCTAAATCGGTTAAAAAAATATGTGTATACTCATTCATTTTTAAGTTTAATTGAAAATTGTATTACTTGATAGTTGTAGTAATAAACTAAATAATAAAACACGCAAATATATGAAAAATAATTGGCGAATTTTTTAAGACAGTGAAGTTTCACAAATCACTGCCTACAGCTTGTTGCATATATTTTAACAATTTTATACAAATTAAAAAAGAGTGAATTTATCAAAAAGGAATAATTCTTTCCAGCTTTATACCGAAAGGCTTGTGCTAAATCATTCCAATTAGCTCAATATGTGAAAAATTCCATGGAGACAACAGAACCTTAGCAAAATAGACATCTTAGCGTTACATTTCAGACATTCAATAACTTTGAAAAAATTTTGCGTATTACGGAAATCCTTAGCATTAAATTGGTCTAGTATCGATGACTGAAGTAAACTATTTTAATTGTTGCAGATCAGTTGACTCTTTTCATGATACATAGATGGAGCTACTTGTGCACTATCCCTTGATTTTTCTCCATAGCCTTTTTCTTTTGTGACTAAACATTTCACGCACTCACGCATTCTCTATTTATTTATTAAAAATTTTCATAATAAATTTGCATTATACATTGCATTATAAATTTGCATTGTACATTGCACTATAAATTTGTACGTTTTCAAAAATAAACAGAACTCTTACTCCCTCAGTAAAATTGGTTCAACTTTGAACCATAAGAAAAACTAGTTTTTTTTCGCCTGACTGAACTGTACTCAACCATTTTGTTATGAGCCTGCTTTTAGCATCATTGTCAAATAAATTGGTACATTGAATACGTAAATACGTTGATGATAATAATTCGCAATTTTTTCCCCTTGCTCAGGTAATAGTTTAATGATTCATAATTTCAATAATATTTTGATTAAACAACCTCGAAAAGCGACTTTATAAAAAGGTTTTTTAGGAGAACTATTCAATCAGTCTGTCTCTTTAGTCATTGCGAAAAATATAATTGTCCTCCAATTAATTATCTTCTTAATCGTTTTAATTTTAAAAATATGTGAAATCTGTCCATCATCTGCAAATTAGCTCGAAACGCATCATTCAAGTAAGTTAGTAGTGCACGGAGAAAGAAAATTTCGGTAATACTGCATAGTAACGACTTTTCTAGTATAAAAACCATAATTCTGGTTAATTAAACCAAAATATAATGGAAGAATTACCATTCACTTCCATTTATATAGTAACAGTATATTGAAAACTCTGGTCTTAATTACATTCTTTTTGTAACTCATTTAGTAAAACAATACAAAATTGAAAAAAGTTTAACAGAAATGTATTTTCATGAATGCTCTATATCATGATAGAATTACTAAATTTCACCACATTCACCGAACTTTATCACCTATTATAAACGATAGTTTATTATTAATTTTATCCCATCTTTGTGTTCCCATTATCTTTGTGTTCCCATACAGCCAAAAACACGATAAATTTTATCATATTCTGGTAGCTTCGATCATACTTTTTTTCTCAGCTTGTTAATTTAGTTAATTAAATTAAATTGTTGCTAACAGTATAAAATCAGCAATAATGTTCTTAATGACATTAATTACATTAGATAACCATTTTATTTATAATACTTATAGAATTTATTAATTTAATCTTTTCTTTAATGAGGAAGCTTTTGAATAAGTGAGAACGTTTATAATTTGCGAAGGTTTGAAATAAGACTCTTAATAATGGATAATTACTTAGTTTACTTACCACAACCTTGAACTTTTTTTTCTCGGTCTTCGTCTGGTCGTTTTCGAAACAGATTGTTATAGTAATTAATTTTCATGAAATCCTCTGGAAAAATAGAAAATAGTTTGTCTAATAAATGCGGGGAAAATTTTTAATAATTTAGCAAATAAAAAATACATTTTATTAAAATTAATTAGGAGATGCTTCAAATTAAAGGGAGAAGAAGAAAGTTTCTTCAGAAAATTCTATAATTGAAACTTTGTCAGCAACTAAATTGCCTATTGATTGATGAATATTTTTAAACTCCTTTAATGTTTTATAGATAAAAATTGAAAACAATAATAATTGAAATAAGAAAACTTCATATTATAAATTGAAAACTAATTATCACATAATATAAATATTCATAATGGCGAATTTAAGGAAATTAGGGTGAATTTTGAATCCTGACGAAGACTTACACCGTCGTGGACGATGATTCTTAACAGAAGTTGCAAAATACATTTTTTTTCTTAAATTCTCTCTCTCTCTCTCTCTCTCTCTCTCTCTCTCTCTCTCTCTCTTTACGCAAGTTTTCTTATGTCTCTATATTGTAGTAGATTATATTGATGCTATGTAAATAAAGTTGTGCTAATAACTTTTTACAAGCAATAAGCATTTTAAACATATTTGAGATGTTTAATGTTTTTAGACATTTCAGAAATTTAAATGTTTAATTTGTATAGATGGTTAGAAACATCCAACATTGCAAAGTAATTATTTTTTAAACTCGATAGTCTTTATTGGTTTTCTTCTTTCTCATTTTGAAAAATTATATCAGAATTTTACTAAATAAAATAAAATTACTAAATTTTCATCATAGAAAACTGATGACATTTTTTCAATTTTATATTTCTTTTTTGTTGTTAAAATTTGATATTATTTTACAAGACACTATGTTGAACATATGGGAAATTCTTTTCTCTAAACCCTAAAATGTCTTCTTTTTGGCATGATTTTTTTTAAAAAAAATCTGTAAAAATGGTATTGGAAGAAGAGGTTACTCATCAGACAAAAACAATTAGTCACCCCTCAAGAGATTTATCTCGGAGGTTGGTCTACAATGTTTTGGAGGAGTTTTTCTTATTATGTGTTGGCTCTTCTATCTGAGGTACCACTAAAATTAAACCTGCATTTTTATTTTAACATTATAGATTATCTGGCGTTGTCCATGTTGTCTATTTTGAGTCAACATCCTTATGATGATATATTTATTTCTTAAGAGGCAGAAAAGTTATCGGATTCTAAATATATGTGACTGGTTTTACAAACACTCAAACATTTCACTATGTCCCAATTAATTTGAAAAACTACCTAACTTTAATTGGTTAGGAACTCTATGATGTATGTTCGAACAGTGAGTAAAAAGCTGAAATCAACATCCTTACAATTCTGTAGATTCGGGGTTTCAAATCCCTTCTAGACAAGCTTGAACTGGACGAGATGTACCCACAAAACTTTGTGAACTCATTTCTTAATCATCTCCTAATCAAGTTCAGAACGACAATTATGTGATAATTATGATTCTTATGATTTCTTTAGAATGGTCTTATTTTTAGCTGATAGTCTTATTTAGCAGTTATTGTTTGTACAAAAATTTATTTCTTAATGCTTGTGAAAGTATGCTTAAATTTGAAGAAAAAAACATGTTCAACAAAAGAAAAAAAATATGTTCACTCCTCACCACATCCCATCTCGTCAGAGCCGTCATCACAATCTTTATGACCATCACAGTTCTTTCGCTGCTCCACACATGTGTCACTGTTGTTGCAAGGAAACTGACCAGGAGGACAATGGGTATCTAAGTCTTGTACGTTAGAAGAGGTATCCACTGCAAAACAGAAGAAATTATCAAGCTATAATGCATAAAATTATTAGTTATAGATATTTAATCATTTGCCCAACATGAGCAATTTATAGAATTATTATTTTCAATCTTCATGACACAAGGGTTTTGATTTCAAGAATTTTTAAAATACTCCAAACTGAAGATATAAGCTATAAATTTTTTGTCGTGTTATTAAAACAGAACCGTCATTTATTAAAATAAAACAAAAGTGCTAGCATTGACAGAGTTGACAGAGAGACAACATATCAGAGTTGAATTTTGAGCCATCAAAGTTATACCTTAACGTTTTACAAGCTCGGATATATTTCTTGAATTTTTAGCAATCTTCCCCTTTATTATCTAGTTATTGAATAAATAATTTTGATCTTTATGACACAAGGATTTCAAATTCATGAATTTTTAATTACCCAAATTGAAACAGGACTGGAGATTGAAGTTTTTGTTTTATTATTATACAATCAGCCACAAAAACAAAACAAAATGAGTGTTAGTACAGCTAGTGATAATATCAGATCGGCTCCATCAGGTATCAGAATTATTCCTGATAGGTTTTACAAGTTCAGATATAATTATTGAATTCTCAATTATCTAGAAAATTCTTTATTTAATGAATGAATAATTGAAATATTTATGACACAAAGATTTTTCACTTTAAATAATTTTAAAACTGTTTTCATTACCCAAAATATACCTCAGTTATCAATAATTTTGCTGCTTACAGCCATTTTTACGCCTGCTAACTGTTTGATAGAAGAAACATAAAAAAAGGTTACAATATAAATTAATTATTCATTTTTTTCACCTTTCGCTTACGTCTGGTATAACAGTTGGACCAGAATTGTGGGTTTCATTATGCTCAGCGCAGTAAGCAAAGGGTTAAATGAAATAGTGAATTGTTAAAAACTAGAAAAAATATGATATTAGCTGCATTTTACTTGTTTTTGTAAAAAAATATAGTTTATCATGTTTTAAATATGGTATTTTACCCTACTTAACAATATTACCCTACGATTTGCAATTATCCTAGATTGATTTATTTTTTAGGATGCTTGCTTAAAATTTGTAATAGGAAAAAAGCTTTTTGAAAAAAAAATCACATTCTGTGCAAATTTTTTTCAAATGCTTTAACACTTACTTTTATACAATATAATTGTTTTCATGAAGAATCAATGAAAATGTCATAGAAAATTGTGCATTACTGAATACTGTTAAAACCTTCAATGAACATATTTACTAAAGAGAATTAAAAATAAAATCTATAATAATAAATTATATTCGTTTATAGAAGTTTTATTTCAAAATTATTATGTTGCAACCATATATTTGGCAATACGCGTATGTAAAACTTTACTTTTCAAATTTACTATTACCAATTTACTTATAAATTTTATGTTACGATTTATATCATTCAAATTAATACAATGTACTGTAACTGCCTTAAGTTTAGTGATAAGGTTTTGGAACTCTATGTTCGTTTTCTTAGGTGTGCAATTGGTTCTCACTTCATTTTAATAGATACAAAGTGGATTTTATCATTGAATAAAGCTCAGAAAGGTGGATTTTATCATGGAATTTTCAGGAATATGTAGATATTAATCGGCTGAATTGGCCAGTCAAATCTCCAAACCACAAATCTCAAATCTTTACTAATCTGGAGAGCTCAGTGGCAACTGAAAAACCTTACCATCTATCATTAAGAATCAAATAACAACATTGGAATCAATTGTCCCGGAAACACCAAAACTGCCTTATTTCTAAATAGAATTCACGGCTTAAAACTTTTCTATTTTATAATCGTCGTTGAACAGCCGACGAATTTTATGGGTTTACGACTACTAATAATAACAAGCTTAACCCCGTCCCGCCCCCGTTATGGGGCATCCGGGAACACTCCGAAAGTTCGAAGTGAGCGCAACAGTTCAATTACATAAGCAAACATAATCGAAATTTTCAAATTAGAGTTTTGACAAATAGGTAGAATATTAAGTATGAAATCCAGAAAACAGTGCTACTTAAAAGTAAACTAAATGCAAACAAACATTACAAAGAAAATAAACAGTAACAACTAGAAGAGATATTGATATTGCATCTTCAGTAGGGATGCAAAGTTAATAAAAGGAAACAATTTCACATGGAAAATATAGAATGTTCGTAACTCAGAATATAATTACAGCTGGCACAACAGTACTGAAGGTATCAAATTCCAGGAATTTTTTTTAAAAATTTTTTTACGACTACTAATTTTCAACTCCGTAGCCTTGTAATTTTGAACCCAATCTAGAAGACAAGGAAACTTCTGGATCGAGTATTGGGAGAAATTTGCCTTCCTGGAGAACTTTTTGATGGATTTTCGTCACAAGGAGAGGAAGACCACGGGAACCTTCCACTATTAGCCTGACAGCAATGGGACTCTAACCCATAATCCGTCTACCACTGAGGATATTTCACATCAGCACTGCGGTCGGTTCAAGCNCTGGATCGAGTATTGGGAGAAATTTGCCTTCCTGGAGAACTTTTTGATGGATTTTCGTTACATGGAGAGGAAGACCACGGGAACCTTCCACGGTTATTTTGACCGCAAAGGGACTCTAACCCATGATCCGTCTCTACCACCAAGGATATTTCACGTCAGCATTGTGGTCGATGCAAGCCGGATGCGGTATTCGAACCCAGTTCACCTCCTTGGAAGGCGAACGCTCTATCCCCTGAGCCATCGCGGCTCAAAACTTTTCTATTATAGAAAACAGACTGAGAGGAGACTATATTCCAGGGAGAGATTTTCTAATCCAGCAGCGTTTCTTGACTCTCTCCCCTGTTAAGCGCTTTTTTAATTAAAAAAAAAAAATTTTTGACATTGTATTGGTACAGGTAGGAGATTTTAAAAGAAATAAAAGCTTGTATTGTAATTGGGACCAACTACAGCCAAGATCAAAATCTTCAACGAAAAAAAGCGAGTCCTTGAAGGCCTCTGTATTGCAAATTCGCTTCCGGGAAGTCCCCCTTTTTTTTTGTTTAATTCAATAATGAATGTTTTATGTCTTTTAACTCCAATACGTGTTGCGGATGATTATTAGTAACTATTATAACAGTTATATGGTTATTTTTATTTGCTTATTTTGTATTAAATCAAACTATTTTCAAAACCAAATTACAAGAAAATTTATTTGATTATTCCGGAGATAATCAAATCTTAAAATTTTATAACCGAGTGTGTTATAACTGTCACCTTTGAAAATTTAATTAGAGCTTCTTTAACACGAATTAATAAACTATTCTCAATATTTCTCTTATATCAGCAACTAATTAATTAGGTCGTAAAAGTTTAGCCAGACCATTTATTCGAAGAATTCCTAAACCCTAACTCCCACAGTACCAAACGGATATCTAACCAAAGACGTCTTTTATCCTAAAGATTTTATGATTTTATCTAATTAGAAAATCCTTTCCAGGAATTTCCAAAGGGTAAAATTTAGCGAGGGTAAATAAGCCAAGTTTGGGTACAGAATGTTTACATCTTAATTAAATTAAATCTGTATATAAAATCGATTTGTTCATTAGTTTTTTAAAAATTTCATCAGAGGAGAGAATAGTCGGACTAAAGAATTGAAAATTGTCTTCAAACACTTGATTTTCTTTTTCTACCGACGTTTGGTTTACTCTCATAAATTAAATATTCACATGTATGATTAATTGAATTAATTTATTATGTGTTTTCATACCAATAAAGTACATTAAAAAGGCTTATATGGAATTTTTATAAGGAAATCCTAATCAAAAAGTCAAGTCAACTTCTTTATCTCTGAAATTAAATTTAAACCTGCATAAAATTATTAAAAAAATGGTATTAAATTGTTGAAATAAAGGCATAAAAACTTTAATTTCTGACTTTTAACGATATTAATGGTTTAAATCAGGGGTTCCCAATTTTTATCGGTTGCGGATCTATAAATCAATCTTTATTCGGCGGAACTCTGACTTTATAAATAATGTTTATTACTGTAAATGTGAAAGTTATAAAATACCATTTTTAGGTATTTAAGTTAAAAATAGTTAGCTTTTCAATGTATTATTATTAGTTAGCTATTCATGATATCAGCTATTCAAGATCTTATAAATATGTATTGAAATATTGAATAGCTAACTATACTATATAGACAGATATTTAGTAGCTATTCAATATATTTTTATTAGTATGAATATTTATTTATGAAGATTCATTTATTAATATATATTTGATGCCCGACGAGTGAATTTGCACCCCTTGTACTACATCTAGTTAAGTTATAAATTCGTTTTTGGTCTATATACATAAGCTGAAAATGAATAAAATAAAATAAATTATGGTTTACTTTGAAGTCAAAACTTAAAGAAACTGCGTGGAAAATGGTTATTAGGGAAATATATTTCTTTATTAAAAATATTAATTATTTTATTTTGATTTGAAAAACGTGATCGGAAATATTAATATAATATTTTATTATTGCTTCTTTTCATAATTTGTTTATTGTATTTCTATTTAAAATATTGTATTTTTTATTCTTTGGCATTTTACTTGAAATAATTTCATAAAGGCAACCGAAAGATTTTGTTCGAACCGCTTTTTGTAAATGTTCCAATGTCGACAGTGACTTTCCTCATGCTTCGAATTATCTGCATGCCAAATTTCATTGATTTTAGCTGAATGGTTTAAAAGACTATAAAGGACACATACACAAGACGGACATTCATTTTTATACATAGATAGATACGTTTTAGTTTACTCATTGTTTTCTGATCTTTTTACAATGCTAAGCAAGATACGTGTTATTCTACTAGAGCTGTTTAAGCAAGGACTAGAACTGTATGAAATCGCTTGTTCTATCTGCGCACAATCGTTGTGCACAAATTTGGGCTCTCTGAAGCAATCGCTTTTACAGGTACGGCATAGATTAAAGATTTACTGCCTATTGATGAAAGCGTTCGGGTCCCTGCATCGTTGGAAAATGCGGCCACTTTGTTGAAGCGAATCAAATTTATTAATAAAAGATCTGCTGTTATTATTATTTGTTATATTTTGTTTCATTATTTATTTTTAATACAGTTATATTAAAATTGATTGTCTGAGTTTTACATATCCTATCTGGCTACGGTCAGTGTGCGGGTGGGTGATCACTTGGATCAGTCTGCATAGGGACCGAGGGTGTGCTGTATTGGTCCCCGTTAAACTGTGCTACCGTAAAGTGCTCGACTTCACGCGCAGGTCGTCGGGCTACTGAAGCGGGGGTGCCATCCCCTCCGCAGAGGATCAAAATTGTGATGGCATGTCTTCGGATCATCTTCCGGGATGTTTCCCAGACCGTCGCCAATAGCCCATTGTGCAGCTCTAGTGCGACGTAAATTAACAACAACAATAACAATTTACATATCCTATACTATATTTAATTACAGATTCTCTACTATTCCTGTACTAATATCCTAGCACATCCTAAACTACATTTAATTTTAGAATTTCTATAGCTTACATTTTAGAATTTCTATAATTTACATTTTAGAATTTCTGTAGTCTACGTATAGTTTAAAATTTTCCTTATATACAGTAGGACCTTGATATTGAAATTTTATAAAAATTATATTCTCAATCATTAAATGAGGCTATATATTGAAATTGTTTTCGACTGTTGTATATCTCTTCACTTTTTATGCTTTATTTAGAAAACAAATTATTTGTATTTAAATTGAATATGCTCCTAATAATGTCGCTTAATTTATCAACATTTTGTTTTGTTTTGCACAGTTTATTTCAACAACTTTAAAATTATTATTAAGCAAAAATTCAATTCCCGCTATTCCGTTGATAGAAAATTAACATTTGATTAAATTGATACCAATTATCAATGGCTTTAATATTTTTCAAATTTTTACATTTCATCCTCATTTAATTTGATGATACGAAGTAATGTAATCTAATTTATCAGCATAGCCCCTTTTCTGCTTTCATAGGATTTTTCTTACTATCTAAAGAATAATAAGTCATTATAAAAATTAAATACTCGTCATATCATTGATGCAATTTAATAAAATTTAGTATTTATATATATATTTCTTTTTATTTAATTTAAATACTTGAAATGGAGATATGGAGCAATGATATCTAATTTATAAACACTTTCTCTGTTTTGCTCGAAGTTACTCTGTTTACTGGTTAAAAAATTAATGTCCAAACAAAACACTTTATTTACGCAATTAAATTGATTAATTCCATTTAAGATAATTTCCTTTCATATTAATTTTCAATTGACACCTTATGTATAAGTGAAGACTTTTACAAAAATAATGAAATTTAATGAACGAAAATAGTGAAATATTAATTAGCGAAAATAGTGAAAAATCTAAAGATAAAAGTTGGAAAAAAAACTCATGAATATTTCTAATTATACAGCTAATACAGCAATAAACTTTGCTAAATTCATAATAGTTTGAAATCAATTGTAAAAAACCGTCGATTTGTAAAGGACTTAATTGTAAGAATCGATTATATATTTTTTTTCAGTGTCACGCTGCTTATCCTGCTCGAATATTTTTTAATTAAGTCTTAAAGTATTTCTAATGCTACTGTTTACATTTAAAATAGAAGTATTTTCATTAATTAGCCTTTAACACATTGTTCTTGGTGTATTTATTTTTTTAATCAGTTTTATTGAGAAAAAAATTAAGTATTCCAACTATTTCAAAATATCAAACGTCTAATAAAGGTACCGCTTTTTTGTAATTATTAAGATGAAAAGAGGTTTCTTTTCTTCTCTATTCTTTAAATGCATTCTAAAAGAATTTGAATAATTTAAGATAAGTAACATATTTTCATTCAAAATGAATTGTGCGATTGAAAATCATGAGAATTAAATGTACTGACTGTGAAAAGTATCAAAACAAATTAAAATCGATCCAAATCATTATCTAAATGAAGGGTTTGTTACAATATAATAATGATCCACATTATTAACGTAACTTCTTTTTTATATCAAACTGTTTCTGATTTTTTTTCCAAGGTAGGAGCTTCATAACTTTTTGGAAATTTCACTAGATAACAGCACAATACACAAATCTAGAGCTTTATCACTCATCTAATGAACCTGACATTATTAACTTTATTAAACGACAAAGAATAAAATGGACAGGCCACGTTAATGACCGTACCACAAAAAGAGTTTTCAATGCCAGTCCAGTTGGCACACGAAAAAGAGGCAGGCGGAATTTGAGATGGATTGATGGCCTAGAGAAAGACATTATGGTCTTACAAACTAAAAATTGGAAAACACTAGCGAAAAGAAGGTTAACCTGGAAAAAACTTCTTGAGAAGGCCAAGGCCCACCCTGGGCTGTCGAGTCATTGATGATGAAGACGAATGTTGTGTCATTATAGTACAACAAGTTGTGATATCAAAATACAATCGAATACTGTTGCATAATATGTATAAATACATGTAATTAACTCACCTTGAAGGAAAGCAGTAATGCAGTGGAACATACAGAGGATAACAACATAGCCAATCGGCATTGGCGCCAGCGCCTTTAAACCTACAGATCTGAAATGTAAAAAAACAGAATTTAGCAAAATACTTTTTCTATATTTAAAAAAATTCAGACTGAAAAAAAAAGTATGGTAAAATTTACCGTGTTCCTAGCTCTGGAAACACCAAAAATCTCGGTAATTTTTACCAAAACGCTTTGGTAATGATTTTGGTAAAATTAATAATAAAATATGATTTTATAATAAGTGATAAAATTTGATAAATGTTTTGAAATTTGGTAATATTATTATGGTACCTAAGAACATGTCATGAAAACTATTTTTTCAATAGAATTTAATTTTCAGTTTTGTATTTTTTACTGAATGTGAAGTTATAAGAACTATAATTTTGTAAACCTAAATATTAGGAAAATCGTCAAGATATAATAAAAATTATCAAATGAATTATATAATTATCAAATGAATGGTTTTAATACAGTATATTCAGGTTATAATAATCAAAATTATGCTTGTTTTTTTACCAAAAATTTCATTACCATACAGTATGGTCATTTTGCCAGATTATTTTTTCTCCATGAAATTTCGCAAGAACTCAAATGATTCAGATTTTAAATTTTAATAAAAAAATATTATCGCTAATAAATAAATATTATCGTGCTCTTATAATAGAACAAAAATCAACTTAAGTGCCATCTTGAACAAGGGTTTATATCTTTCAAAGATGTTTTTAGAAAGGTATCTGCGACAAATACCACAGAGACCTGACACAAATAATGTATATTTTTTTAAAGATAAAAAACTTGTAGAAATTCATTTTATTTTTTAGGTTTTATTTTCTTTCATTACTGTTTGATTTTTATTTATTCTTCTTTCTTAATTTGAAAGTTGTTTGAATTTTATGGAAATCTCTTTATACTTTGAAGTTGTGGAACCCTTATCGCCACCACTATTGTACCAGTTCCATAAATTGGAAATTAAATCTCTATTCAGATTAATTGGAATATGTGCTGCGTAAAAAAACAATTTGTCACAGATTATTAGAAAAAATGAATCATTATTTTAGTTAAGTTTTAAAGTAATCAAAAAGAATTAAATAGCAAAACAAATAAACCACGCATTTATAAATTCATGTTTTTCTAACCACAGCTTCATTTTTCAATTGATTGTTGTTATAAACAGCAAAAAATTACTATTGGTAAAAAGTAAATATTTCAAGGGTAATTTTTATCATTTATGAATTCATGTTTACAATATAATTCTCATGACTCAAAGATAAATATTTGAATTTATTTAAAACAGTTTTAACAAATGTTTAAAATAAATATTCTTCAATGATTACATACTTTAGATAAAAATTAACAATTCGCACTAGAAAAAAATAGTATTTATATTCATTGATTTAAAATACTATAAAACGCATATCTTCTCCAAACACTTAATAATTGTCACTGAAAAACTCTTATTTTAACAAAAAGTATTAAAAATAATGCCTTTTCATTGTAGAGTGTTTTTAATACTTTACTGCTATGTTGAGAAAAATGTATAAATTGGCAAATTTAACTAGAGATTTACTTTTTTTTTTGCTGCTCTTTTGAACAAAATCAAATGATTTAAAAAAAAAGCATTTAAATTTGATAGAAGCTCTAGACAAAAGTCAGAAGAATCATCATTTTATTATCAAAGTGAAAAACACGTTAGATATCGCGTCAACTGCACTTAAATCAAATTTTAATAAATTAAGAATATTTATCCGGCGGATGATAAACAGGAGGATATGTGATGCTAATCATTATTTCATTTGAAAGAATAAATTACTGTAAACAAATGATTTCGATTTGCTGATTCAAGTCTACCTGATTGTGATGATTCCATGAGCAATTTAGTAGCAAGATTGAATTTATTTTTAGATTATATTTATTACATTATGAAATGAGTATCAAGCTTGCTTGGGAACTAAACATTGGGGGTTGCGCTTTCGGTTAACCACTTAACCAGAACATCTGCTCCTGCACCCCAGAGCCTAAGGTCAAGAAAACTGAGATGGACACAGTAGGCCATGGCCCTCTATGGACTGTCGTGCCACTGAGTTTAGTTCAGTTTATTAGATTATATTGTGAAACCCATGGCATTAAATTTCAGTTCTAAAGGTACTAGCTAGAATGTAGAATAAAATTTTTCCTTGCCACTATTTTTGCGAAAAAATATGATTAATTTTTACAGTGCTAACAGGTGAAGTATAAAGAACTTTTGGTGTCTAAAACAATAAGAGAGTGTAGAAACTTATTGCAAAGTGATGCTAATGTTTACTTGAAATAATGTTCAAATAAGTCCTCATTGAATATATCATCCACATATCATTAAAAGTTATTAAAATGAGGAAACTATCAGAAAATTCAAATAAGTCCTCATTGGATATATCATCCACATATCATTAAAAGTTATTAAAATAAGGAAACTATCAGAAAATTCAAATATCACTAATATTATATGTCAATTGCAGCCCCAGTCTCAAACTCTATAACGCTCTGAATCTGTTATTCTCTAGTCAAAATCTATTATTCTCGAGTTTAATTCTGTTGCTCTTGAATAAAATTCTCTGTTCTAGAGTTATTTTGGAGTCAAACTCTACTATTCTCGAGTTTAACACTGTTGCTCTTGAGAAAAATTATCTGTCGTTTTAGAGTTATTCTCGAGTCAAACTTTATTATTTACTCTCTAGCCGTAAATATTCGGTCGCCAATGGCAAGGTGGCGAGGGGAAATTTCGCCCTTATTTAAACTACTTTTTTTTATTATTGGGGGCGACATTAAGAAAAGTACAATTTACAGAAAATGGTGAAAATGAATGCTACTAATTTTATATTTAATTGAATCAGATTTACAAAGTTGTAAAAAAATCAAGGCATAATTATATTATACATATGAACTTCAATACATAAATTTCATTATGTTGAAAAATATGTTTTTATTTGGGTAAAATTGCAAATGCGTAGAAAATATTATTATTTTTAGAAATTTTTGTGATGTATATGCGCTAGAAATTATTTTCAATTCCAAACAATAGATGGCGGTACAAAAATCTTCTTATAATCGCAGGAAAAGAAACTAAAATATGTACTGAGAAATTTTATTTTTATTTTATTGTGCGATATTAAAAAGAGGGTTATAATAAAGTTAAGCATTAAAATTAAAAATTTTAGTGACAATTGGTAAACAAGTAATATTTTTTAATCGCTGTTTTCTCATGTTTTTAATCTTTCATTTTTTATTTTGGTTTCATGTTAATTCGTATTACTAAATGAGATGCTGTTGTTGCTTTAACTCATATTCTACATAAACAATGATAAGATTACGATTTTTGTTTCAAGTTCTCAATGAAATTTATTGGAAACAATGCTTTTCAAAATAAGAATTATTTTTAAAAGATTTCTACAGATGTTCATAAAAAGATTTTGTAATATTACAAGATTAGAATGTTTGTATCAAAATTTATAACAATGTTTATGCATATAAGACTTAGACAAAATATGCAGTTCTACAGGCAATATATAACTAAATAAGGTTTTAAGGTATATATTATAAATAAGGTAAATAAATAGTTTTTTTAGTATAATTCTGGTGAGAAAAAGGAATAGATTCTCCTTCAATAATTTTCTTTGTAAATATAGATATAAATTTTTTTTTCTGGTGCGTTGAATGAAAGCGTAAATTCATACTGTTAGTCGTACACTGTAAAAAATTCCGAATAAAATTGAAGTTAAAAGTTCAGGCTCCCGAATGCAGCACCTCTAAAATACCGTAAATTCCATTTTTACCGTGAAATTTTATACCTCAATTTTTATGGTAAACCCCGACGAAAACAAGTTTTATAACGTTATTTATAGTTAAGTCTTACAACCTTATTTAATTAGAATGATTTAGTCATTTTATAGTAAATCTTATTATATATAAAAAAAATTACGATATATCAGAATTCCGTAAAATTTTGCAGTAATAATGAATTTTACGGCAAAAAGAACCAGCGCACATAGTGTCACTGCTTTTTACTGTAATTTGATTCGGAATTTTTTACTATATACTAAAATAAACATATTGAAATGTTAAAAAAACATGTCTAAGAAATTAAGAATAATGATTTTTCTTCATATCGTTAAACTATAGGGAAAAAAAACTTTTTTTGAAATTTGGTCAATATTTTATGCCCATGCTTTGCATATGAAAAATAAGTTTTATGGAAAAAGATTTCAAAAAAGTTTCTAATTAAAAAAAATTGTTATCAACTTGAAATAAACTGCATTTGTTGAGGCATGTGATGACTTCTGTAGTTTTAAATTACAGCATTGGTAGATCGTCAGGTAACTGCATCATATGAAGGTTCACTCCTGATAAAAAAAATAATTCAGCTCCTGATATTTTCATACAATTTACTTATTAATCATTAACTACTTTTCATCAATTTTTATTACTTTCTCACGAGTATTTAAGTACTTTCAAATTCCTTTTCTGTGCAGAAATTGTGAGAATTTTCCCAAAGAAAACAGCAAAAGCATTTCTGATTTCTCCCACAAAATGATTTTTTTTTTTGAATTCAAAGTGGTTTGCCGAGAACAGAATTCATTACGATCGTAATTAAGATCAGGTGAATAAGGAGGGATTTTCCTTTTAATGTCCTACGTTTTTGGGTGACAAATGGTGAAAGAATGTGCTTATTTATTCTTGGTTTAATGAGATATCCCCGCAATTTCACAATCACTCATCTTCTTCGAAATCATTAATTAAATCTCGCTCCTTTTTGTCGTTGGTGAAAATATGATGAGACAAAAAAATGCTACCATCAATTGATACTTAAAAGTTCATGATATAGCTGTTGCTAAATTTAAAAGGTGGGACATATGCTTGAATTAAATAATTAATGAATAACGTTTGAAAAATATTTATTGAAATCTGATTGAGCAATAAATGTTGCCTGGAAAATAACAAAAAAACTGATTTAGTTTATCAA